TGTAAACAATTAAAATGACTTGACCATTTAATAAAATGTAATAACAGATTCAGTTTTCTGTATTATTTGAATTTTTTGCCAAATGTATGTGCTGTGAGTATACGTATTTAAGTATAGGACTGTAAAGAGATATCGAAATAAAAATGGGAAAAATTTTAAAGTAAAAGATTCCATCAAGCAACGAACTTCTACGGGATTTTTAAGAAATCACAAAAAGTGGTTTACTTGTTTAACTTTTGCTTTGCATTGAGCTAATTAGCCAAGTCAATTAATACAACTACAAGATGAATATAGTCAGAATGGATTCTCTGTCTGCATCGCAACGTCCTGAACTCTGCTTTTTCAGCCACTCTGGAGAGATGCTAACTGTGAACCAATGTTATATAATGTGATGGGATATGATATAATGACATGATCATATGATGCTGGTTCCTTTGCAGGCATGATCACACGGCTCCGCCACCCCGTGTCAACCAAGGCCAACAAGGTCCCCGTCTCTGTGTCCCTGGGAAATGGTATGGACACACCCTTGGGCTCTTAAACCCCATTTCCCGCCTTTTTTGGTTTTAAAATATGGGATCAACTTACTAATAAAAGGGAGGGAAGACAGGAAGGAGGTCCCTGTTCACCTTGTGCCAGGGAGGATTTTCTTTAAAAAAAAAAAATCTATCCTCCCAATCTAAATCTTAAAGCTCTCAGCATCACAAAAAAAGATTGTCAAATTTTTCTTCTTATTAGACCCTATCATTGCCCTCCAGAACTTCATTCGTCGCCTGTCCTTTCTTTTTCCTGGATTCTCTGCCTGCTCAGCGGATCAGTGGAGCCAGTCTTCCACCTTCTGTATTAGGATACTAACAAACACCCAGATCACAGTTTAATTTGTTTATAAGAAAATCTAATAATATTTTACCAACTTAAGGGCATTGAGCACATTTTGCCCCTGAGCCTAAGATGCCTCTGGTTGGCAAAGTATTTTTTGCACTGATCCTTCTTGTCAATAGGTGTAGCTACTCCAAGAACAGTATTGTCTTGGGTGGTGGTACCATGTGGTCATAAGACCATGTCACTAAGGATTTTTTAAAGTTATCAACCTAAAATAAAAACTATTGTTGTTCGTATTGTACATGTGAAACTCTCATTGGAGAGGAAATCACTTGGGAAGCTGTTAGCTGCAAAGCCTTCTATGTTCATCCTAAAGAGTGTCTGTCTTGCCTCATTAGGAATCTGGGAACTAAAAAGAGAAGAGATTACCCTGTTGAAGGAGCTGGGAAGTGGCCAGTTTGGAGTGGTCCAGCTGGGCAAGTGGAAAGGGCAGTACGATGTTGCCGTTAAGATGATCAAGGAGGGCTCCATGTCAGAAGATGAATTCTTTCAGGAGGCCCAGACCATGATGTAAGTTTCCCCTGAGGAACAGCAGTTTAGCCCTCACCATGGGAGGACATTAACACAAATAGATCTGTTCCTAACATTTGTAAGGCTTGGAGCAAGAGTCCACATACTGTATCACAGATATAAATATTTAGAAGTTATAAATTAAGCTAACAAACTGTTAAATAAAATAGATCCTATGCTCCCACTTTGACAAGTATACCTTCATGACAACCTGAAAGGCCATATTCAAATTTAGAATTCTCAAGACCCTACAAAGAAACCAGCCTCTGGCCTGTGATCCCCGAAACCCCACCGCTCCCCTTTCTCCTCCCACCCCCAGCTCCATCCCCTGTTACAAGGGTCCTCAGTACTCATGTGCAGGCACAGCACTCAGGACTTGCAAGCTCCCTCCCCGTCTCTCACAAACAATTATCTGTTGGCTAATGATCTTGGCTAGAGGTAGTGTGGTTCACCCTTGAGGGAACAGACCCCTCAACAAAGACTCTGCACAGTTCCCGGAAGAGGCCTCAGGACTACATGAACAGGGGATTCTAGAGTCTTGGTACTCCAAGGGTGGCTGAGAAAGGCACATATAGGCTCCAAGTAGCCATGTCTCCTTGGACCTCTGCCCTCCTTGCCCTGTGGGGCAGTGCATATGGGATGAGGGACAGAGTGGGGCTCAGGCAGTACCAAAAACTAATACTCTACCAACAATGTCCTTTTTTTCTTAGTACCTTCCAGTCTGGTAAAAATCCCTTTCTCACCCTACTTCTTTCCTCACCTAATAAATGAAGATATCCTTCCCAACGGTTCTCAGCTCCGAGCAGTCCTCAATTCTTGGCAATACGTATGTGCTCACTTTCTCTTTTTCTTCTCTCTCTCTCTCTCTCTCCTTCATCTTCCCCCCCCCATATAATTCTCCCTTTTCTTGTCAACATGGTGAATCAGACTAGGTAGGGTGACGACCATCCTGATCCAGGTTTGCCTGGGACTTTCCTGGGTTTAGCACTGAAAGTCCTATGTCCTGGGAAACCCTTGAATCCCAGGCAAACCAGGAAAATTGATCACTCTGCTTTTAGGGAACCAGCATGGTAGGAAAAACAACGTTATAGCTGGGCTTTGGTCACAGATCGTTGAAATCACAAATCCTAGTCTGCTACAGATTGAGGGCACTTTTAAAATTTTTTACTTAAACACTTATACTGTACAGTGTTGACAGGCATTTTTCTAAGCACTTTATAAATATTAACTTACTCAATCCTTATAAGAAGCCTATGAAGAATGTACCATTGTTATCTTTGTTTTATAGGAAACTAAAGCACAGAAATGTTAACTAACTTGCCCCAAGTCACCAAGCTAGTAAAAGTGGCAAAGCAGAGATGTAAACCCAGGCAGACATTCCAGTGTCCATTTTCTTAGCCATTCTTTTATGAAAACCAAAGGAAGGAGGAAAGCTGGAACAATCACTTTTACCATAATTGCAGAATTGCTTGGAAGCAGAGGTGCTATGTGAATATAAGACTTTGGCCAGGGCTGGCTTCATGGGTGTATGTGACCTATACAGTTGCAAGGGCCCCCAGTACCTAGAAGTCCTCTGTACCTGGTTTAATGCTCTGCTCTTGCCATCTTGGGATACTTCATAATTTTTAAACAAGGATTCTTCTATTTTCATTTTTCACTGATACCTGCAAATTGCATAGCTGGTTCTGCCTTTGGTGATTGGATTTTTATAAGACTAGGGAGGAGGTCCTTGGTTTCCTTCTCTTATAGGACAGAAAAATTGGCCACTTTCTTAGGCTCATAGTGTAACCCCTGTGTCCTGGTATAACTTTAAAGCATATTTTTTGCCATTACTGAGCTGGTAATCATACAAGGTCATTAACAAACCATTTACTCATGAAGGAAGATAAACTGCGCCACAGTGGGGAAATGTTAAATCCCAAATGTAGTGGTCAAACCGAGGCCTATCATGTGGGGAGAATCAGTTGACATGCTATTCCCGCTATAAGCCCCCTGGGCAGCAACTGAATTTGCTCAAGGAACAGCTTTTATTAGGTGCTGAGCACCATGCAGATCTCTAAAATTCCTGAAAGATGCATATCTGAGCTCATCACCTTGTGTACCATGATAAACCATGTCCCTATGGTTAAACTAAGAAGGAAGGAAATAGCTAAAGATTCAAGGACTCCTCATTTATTAAAAAATTTAAAAGTTGACATATGTTACATTTAGATTGACTTTACATATCTGAACATTAAAGAATCATCCTGTAAATTGATAAAAATAGTTAAATCATATAAGGACAGGTTGATAGACCTGTAACAACTGAGCATCCATCTCATTATGACCTACCAGAAGTGCTATGTCATATGGTTACTATTTTCTAAAATTATTATTGCAAAGATAATGTAAACAATAATGTAAAATGATGTTTTTTAAAAGAAAAAAAAATCACACCTAATCTCACTTCCCTAACATGGCAACTATTTTCATTTTACCTACACTCTTCACGTTCTGATACATTTTTTTAGAATGAAACATTTAGACATGAAAGTTAGATGCTTTAAAATCGAAGTGATTGTTCTTAGAATGTGGCTTCCTCTAAATCAGTCATGGAAGTTCCCAAGATGCCACAAGACTAAACAGGATTTCCAAGGCAACAGACCATGGCTACCCTGATTCTCTGTAGGAGAGTTGAACACAGCATGCATCCACAAACTGCTAAATTGCTGCTGGGGTTGCCAATGTCTAATATGAGGCAGCATGTTTTGCCTCCAAAGGCTATTGTGCTCCTAATATACAATCCTAAACTTTTTCCTCTCTTTATCTATTCAAGTAGAAGGGGGGAAATTAAAACAAACCAAAATCTGAGAGTGATTTTTTTTTAGGACATCTGGAAAATGGAGTGTGGAGTACTGAACTTTGAAAATCTATTATTTCTAGGAAACTCAGCCATCCCAAGCTGGTTAAATTCTATGGAGTGTGTTCAAAGAAATACCCCATATACATAGTGACTGAGTATATAACCAATGGCTGCTTGCTGAATTACCTGAGGAATCATGGAAAAGGACTTGAACCTTCCCAGCTCTTAGAAATGTGCTATGATGTCTGTGAAGGTATGGCCTTCTTGGAGAGCCACCAATTCATACACCGGGACTTGGTAAGCAAAACTATTGGAAACTCAAAAAAAGGAAAGGAAGTAGTCCACAGTTCCCACCTCCAGGGATGGGGGCCACTGGAAGGGGGACACCTTCACTTTTACTTTGCTCACTTGTGACTTGCTTAAGCATATAACACTTCTATAATAAAAATCACACTTTTAAAATAAAATATTGAAAATACAGAAAGAACAGTAAGAGTAAAATAAGTTGTAAAGATCTACATAGCTGCATTGTGGTATGAAGGAAAACAAATGGAAAAGAAAGATTTTAGCAATTTAGTATTTCTTGTAACCATTAAACCCAAGTTGACCTTTACTCCAGGAAGGGCTTAGCACTAACGCAGTCATTTGATACAATAACTGAAAATACAAAAAAAGAAAAAAATAGAGAAGGAAATGGAATTTGTGTGTGTCTTTGGGTCAGGGTGGGAGTAGGGAATTTTGTGTTTGGCATTCACTGGGATTTATCTTTAGAGATTTTTGTGTGCTGAGCAGCAGACAGGCCATGCACACTAGGCCGGTGTGTTCCATGAGTCGTTTGTGCCTTCGAAGCATCTGTTAATGTGTGGTATCTGGTGGTGGAAAGGGAGCTCCTAGAAATTTCTCCTCTCTCCTTGATAAGCTAAGATTCTGTGTTTAAAGTATAATACCTTTCAAGTTGTTTGACAAAGATGGGTGCTTGGGTGAAAATACTTATGGGAGCACATTTTTATTTTGAAAAACTAAAAATTGCAAAGGAGAAAAAAAGACAACTTCAGAGCATTTGGGATTGTGATAAGCAGTCTTAGATTTTGATGAGAATTCTCCCAAAGAGGAAGAAATGACTAACTCTGACTGACGTCAGGAGATTCTTGGTCACTTTTACCTACTTGGTGATTTTGTTTTTCCTCCAAAGGCTGCTCGGAACTGCTTGGTGGATAGTGACCTCTCTGTGAAAGTATCTGACTTTGGAATGACGAGGTAAGCTGATTCCAAAGGGGCGAGCCATGAAAGGTGGATTTCCACTCACATTTGAATGCCATCATAGTTGAAGGCCTTGTGGGGATGTAGAAGGTGTTCTGAATTGGGGGCTTAGAAACCTGGGTCCCCCCCATACTGCCTCTGACTACTTGTGAAACACGTTTTGCCTCATTTCTTCATCTATAAGATGGGATTGTTCTTCAAAAGTTGTCTGAAGTCATTTTTTAGTTCTTTCAACACTCCGATAAATATTTTCTAAACTTATGAATAAATTCCATGAAAGATCCTAAATATTTAAATACAACAGGTCACAGCCGCATTATTTGGATAAATATTTACAACATATATTTTAACTCAACAAGGCTCCTCTAGCTCTTTTGTTTTTTGGTTTTTTGAAATCTGTGCTTAAATGATCAGAGCATTAACACTAGGAAAGTTATTGTTGTCACATCTTTAGATTTTCTGTATGATCAAGTAAGGCATAAAAGTAGACCCTGAGATTCACTTGGTGGGCATTCTACCACCACTTCATCATTTGGAAAAATTATTTTGATTATAATAGTTTAAAAGAGTCTTTCGTGTTCTTAATTCTGAATCCTCATACTATTTAAGGCTCAGAACAAATTTTCATGGTTTTACTTAGGAAATAAAGACATATATATATATACTGAATGCATCAGCCCTTCAGAGGATATTGATATGAATGGGATAGTCCCCACTCTCAAAATGCCCACAGTTTAGTCTAGAGGGCAAGTAGATATCCTGGACATTGAGACAAAATCCAGCTGTAAACCCGTGCTGGCAATATAAACTCATGTCATTCCGGGGAAGGATAATGCAGTTTAAAAGAGATATCAACAGTTGCCCAAGACCAGCTGTACATTTGGCAAACATGGACCTAAGATGCCATAGGAGGATCTGTTTCCTTATGTCTTCCCCCAAATTCAGTATTAGGGGGTACTTTTTGACCCCAGTGGCACAGACCATGGGGGCTACAGTAGTTCCTCTGGGATCCCTCAATATTGACAGGGTGACCTTTTAGTGTCCTACCTGCCCTCACTCCAACCGCCATGTGCAGAGTCTCCTATGAAGACACTCCAAATGTTTAGCTCTCTTGAGGGCAAGAAAAAAATCTGCTCACAGCTCCTTAAAGCAGAAAGATTCTTCCAGGGCAGGGGAAGGGATCCCCACCTTTGCTCTCAAAGCAGGAATATTGAGTGTTATGCCAGCATCCAGCGAATATGCTGTCAAGTTCTCTGTAGCTTTGGAAAAGGGAGACAAGAGGTCTTGCTCTGAGTAAGGGATCCCAGAGGCCACACACCAGGTCCTGTTGGTCATGAAGCTCTGTGGCTACATCATGTAGGTCCCTGGGACTTAATTTTGTCCTGATAATTTGAAGGAAGTTTTAAGCCACGAGCAGACACAAGCCAGGGGTACAAGGGTTGTGTCTGAGTGTCTGGTAGTGTCTAGGGAGCTAAGGGGATCTGGGGAGGAAAATATGGAAGGGGCTATATGTAACCTATGAAAGTGTAGTTTGTTAATACTATTGTTAATATTTAGAAGAATAATCTTCCAAACCAGCTGTTTTAAATTACAGTAGAGATCTCTAAAACAATTTGATGTATAAATCTTTCCTATAAATTCGACCCAAATTTTCATTTGCCATATTTTAATTTTCCTATTTTCTCTAGTTGAGTCATTATGTTTTTGTTGTAGTTTTGTGGGCAAATATATGGTGTTTCCCCCTATT